ATAGTTAAAGGGCTGCCCACAGCAAGCCCCTGAGATCTGGTAGTTTCTAATAGGAAGAGGCAAAGAGAAGATCCATGAAGTGCGTGGGGATGGGAGGAAGAAACAGGCCAGTGATGGCAGGTCCCAGAAAGTGTCCACAAAAATTCAAATCTGCCTCTGATATGGTTTGGTTGTATCCCCACCCAAATCACATCTTGAATTGCAACTCTCAATTCCCACATGTTATGGGAAGGACTCAGTAGGAGATAATCGAATCATGGGGTGTTTTTTCCCAATACTGCTCTCATGGTAGTGAATAACTCTCATGAGATCTGATGGTTTTATAAGAGGTTTCCCTTTTTTCTTGGCTCTCATTCCCTCTTGTCTGCCACCATGTACAACGTGCCTTTCACCTCCTGCCATGATTGTGAGGCCTTTCCAGGCACATGGAACTGTGAGTTCATTAAACCTGTTTTTCTTTATAAATTATCCAGTCTCAGGCATGTCTTTATCAGTAGCGTGAAAACAGACTAATACACCCCTGACAAGTAAAATCTGTATCCTTGTTTCCAGCAACAAGCGCTGACACTGAAGGGGGCAGCCTTGGCAACAGAGGCCCTGCTGGACTTCAGAGGAGCAGAGAGGGCCAGTCAAGAAAGGGTCCACAGAAAGAAAATCCTTGGGGAGTGGACCTGTGCCAGGAACTGTTCTAGGCAGAAATGGAGACAACATCTGTGAGCAAAACAGACGAAATCTCTACTCTAAAAGAGTTTGCCTTCTAGTGGGGGAAGACAAGGAATCAGCAGGATAAAGGGAAAGACATTTAGTAACTTAGAAGATGGCAGATGCTATGGAGAAATAAAAAGCAAGGAAGGTGGACAATGAGTGCCGCCATTTTCAACTGGGTCATCCAGGAAGTCTTCAACAGAAATGGGATTGGAGCAAAGGTTTGAAGGGCAAAAAGAATACTGAAATAAATGTCTTGGGGAAAATGTGAATGGATTTAGAGTCCACTCCCCTAACTTTTCATTAAGTATTTCAAAATAATTAGGAGAATGTGCTTGTGTTGTTAGAGTATTAACAGTTACCCTTGAGGCTGCTGGGACACAGCTAACAAGGCAGATTCTGAAGACAAGCATCTCTCATTGTGAAGAGGCAGACATGGGGCTGTGCGGAGTTGTGCTGGCCAGGAGGCCCCACCCAGCCTCCCTGACCCTAACCCTGAACACGCCTACTGGTGGCTGCATCTTTGTCCCTGGACACCTGGAACACAGTGTTGTCCGGTAGCTCAGAGCCCCCATCGGTGAAGGAGGGCAGTGTCTCAGCAGCTGGCTGTTGAATAGATGTACAGGTGTAGGCCACTTCCAGATCCAGAGCCAGGAGTTTTTTATTGTGCTTGCCCCCGGGGGGACTTCAGGATGTACCACCAGACACACTCCCTCCCTCAAGTGGGTCCTGAGGGACCTTGTCGGGGGTTAAAAGGATCGATGCTGGCAGCACGTCATGGGTCACAGCACACCAGGTGGAATCCTGAGCTCAGGGACCAGGGCACGTATCCCCAGCAGGATGCCAGTGATTAAGTTGCCTTTGAAACCTCCAGGGAAGAAGAAGCTCCCCATTATTCTACATCCGTTACGCAGAGAACATTTTTCTGGCTCCTAGACCAGGGGTGGCTGATCTGAAGAGCAGCCTCCATTGCAAGTTACTGATGGCAAAAGGATGTTTTTTTGTCAGGGATGGAATCAGATGGCAAGTACAGGATGCTCTGGCCATGGAGGAAGACTGCAGAGAGCTCTGTAATTGAGAATTGCAATAGAAGGAATGAAGGAATAGAAATCAAATGCAAAATGTAAAGGCCACTTTGTTGTGGATTGGCAGGAAAAACATTAGGAGTTAAAAGACTATGACCTTGGGCTTGGCTGGGTCATTTGAAATTCTAAAACCTCAGTTTCCCCATTTGAAAGTGGGAGTTATACTTGACAATCTCCAAATTCTCACTCACTTTAAATATGCCTAGTCTACGCTTCTCTTGAATGGTTCGTCATGATAGATAAAGGAGTGAATTTGGAGCAACATTTGCCAAAAATTAGATGTAAAATCCATTTTTCCCACTAATCCGTTGGGAATTCAAGGATTGCTATTCCATTTCCGTACAGCCCTCTTTGCCACGTCTGCTGAGAGAAAACAGAATTCTCAACAACTCACCTGTTGATGTCCAGAAAGGATTGCCATTTATCTGTAGAGATGCTGAGAGATTGTGAAGGCCCCCTGAGGAATGCACAGACAGACTTCAGTTAAGAGTTCAGTTTCCTTGGGGAAGAAGTGAAAAAAAAGCTCCAGTTGACAAATGGCAAGGAAATAAAAAGGAACTTGAAAGTCTGCAAGCTCCAGCGCCATTTTTAAAACATGATCGGAGTTCGTGACGCCAGCGGCTGTTACAGCATTCAGTCTGGGTACGCTCACTTCTCCACCGGTGTCATGAGTCAAAACAGTGGTTCTTCATTGAAATCTGAAATTCCTTGGGTAAAAGCATATTATCAGGTTTGTATGAGGCTCAGTGTTACTTGTATTTCAAGCCTCAAAATTAAGTAACATTCAACTCCTGTAAAATTCTTTGTTTCTGATTGTAAATCGTAAGAGTCAAAACCAAGCATATTAGGAAGTTTTGGATAGCATCTAAGTCTCTGAGACGGAAACAGTACAATGACTTGATAGGTAAGATTTAAGGGCTATCCAGCTGTGAAGTTCTGAGAGCTCAGACTAACGTGTTATTTTTAAAATTGTAATAAAACATATCTATTTTGTAAATGGTATTGCTAAACTGAGGGTTCTACCATGAAATAACTAAATCCTCGTGACTTTAGGGCTAATCTTAAATTCTTTGCATGTTCCCAGTTAATTAAACGTGAATTAATTAATCAGAAGTGAATTCATTAGATAATTAAAGGTGAGTTGATTAATTAAAGGTGAAAGTCTCATTCTGAATAATTTACTCAAGATTTACAACCCTTATGCAGAATTGGTCTCACTCCTCCAGAAGCCAAGAATCACGCTCGCAGCAGTGTTCCGCTAGGAAAGGCACCCTCCCCATGCTCTGCCCCCACTCCACTCTGGTTTCCTTTGGTTTCCCCTTCTTCCAGACAGACAATGGGCTCACCGGGGAGGAGAAAGCGAGATGCTCAGCACTCAGGCTGCTGGACTCTAGCTCCTCAACTCCAGCTACTGGCCAAATGGTAGCACAACCTAGCTTCTAGATCGACACCCCGTCCCCTCCCTGTATTCTCTGGTTGGCCTTCTTGAAAACAATTTTTAAAATAACCGCTAGCATGAGGAATTCAAAAGCTCACAAAGTATAAGAAAATAAATTAGATGTGGAATCCAGTTTTAACTTGTTAGATTAGTCTCGGTAGACGGTGTGATGGCTAATATTGAGAGTCAACTTGATTGGATTGAGGACCCAAAATATTGTTCCTGAGTGTGTCTGTGAAGGTGTTGCCAAGGACATTAACCTTTGAGTCAGTAGAATGGGAAAGGCAGACCCACCCTCAATCTGGGTGGGTACCATCTAATCAGCTGCCAGTGTGGCTAGAAAAAAGCAGGCAGAAGAACATGACAGAACTAGACTGGCTTAGCCTCCCAGCCTCCGTCTTTCTCCCATGCTGCATGCTCCCTGCCCTCAACACCAGACTCCAGGTTCTTCAGCTTTGGGACTCAGACTGGCTTCCTTGCTCCTCAGCTTGCAGACAGCCTATTGTGGGACCTTGTCATTGTGTGAGCCAAAACGCCTTAATAAACATAAAATAAAAATAAAAAATATATATAAAGGGGAGTAAATATATATTTACATATAAAAGGGAGTTTATATAAGGGATATATATATATATATCCCCTATTAGTTCTGTCCCACTAGAGAACCCTGAATAATATGGATGGAATGAAATTTTTAAAAGTAGATATTTTTCTAGGTCAAGAGCAACCAAATTTTGGCAATTTCACATGACTTGAGCTCTACTTAGGAATCCTTCAATTCTGGATTCTCTGTCTTTTTACGTGAGTTTAACCTATTCCTGCTCTTCCTGCCCAGCTTCTCAGAGTATTCCTTTAAATTCCACTACCTATCCTTAAGCCAGCTGAGATCCCACTAAGCTCCTCTAGCCAAGCCAATGTCCATTCCATAAATGTTCATTGAGCACCAGTTCTGAACCAGGGACTGCTGCGGACACAAGGGCAGGTGTAAGTCTGTCTTAGCCTTTGAGGAGTTCATAGTCTAGTGAGAAACAGAAACTTTTAAAATGTACATAATTAGGTTGACGATAGAAATATGTCCAAAGTGTGGAAGAGAATCAAGAAGCATCATGCTTAGGGGAAAGACTGAGGAAGATTTCAAAGAAAAGTCGACATGTGGATTGTGTCCTGAGGGAACTATAAGATTTCCTGAACAAACCCAACTGGGGAAGGCATTACAGCAGGCACAGTGCAAAATCTAGGCTCTGGAACCATTGAAGAACACTGAAAGTTCTAGTTCTGGGGTAGGGCCAGTAGCTCCATAGGGCCCAATGATAGGATGCAAGGAGGGGCTGGGTGTGGTGACTCACACCTGTAATCCCAGCACTTTGGGAGTCCAAGACAGGAGGATGGTTTGAGGCCAGGAGCTGAATGCTGCAGTGAGCTATGATTGCACCACTGCACTCCAGCCTGGGTGACGGAGCAAGAGCTAGTCTCTAGAAATAAAAAATAAGGAAGATGCAAGGAGACAAAAGGAGATTGGTGTCAGATCTTAAAGGAGCATGACATTCTCTTCCTGAATCATGTGTTTAAGCCATACATTATGTTTCTAACCAGGAAAGTGACATGGTGTTTTTTTCTGAAATATAATTTTGCAAAAATTATATTTCAGGAGTGCTTATTTTCTTACTGTGACCTGTGAGACCAGAAAGAAGAATCAAGCCAAATGAGTAGGATGTGTAGGCTTTAAAAATTATCTTTATTTGTTTTTTCTACATATAAAAGAAATACACATTCATTCTAAGCAATTCAAACATTTTGGAAATATACAACATAGAAATCAAATGCTCCCTGTAATCCAACCTCCCAACCCTAACCACTATTATTACTACATCTGGTATAGATTTCATAGATTTCTTTTTTTTTTTTTTTTTTTTTTTTTGAGATGGAGTCTCACTCTGTAGCCAGGCTACAGTGCAGTGGTGCAATCTTGGCTCACTGCAACCTCTGCTGCCTCCCGGGTTCAAGCAATTCTCCTGCCTCAGCCTCCCGAGTAGCTGGGACTACAGGTGTGTGCCACCACGCCTGGCTACTTTTTGTAGTTTCAGCAGAGATGGGGTTTCACCATGTTGGCCAGGATGGTCTCGATCTTGACCTTGTGATCTGCCCACCTCAGCCTCCCAAAGTGCTGGGATTACAGGCAAGAACCACCGCACCCGGCTGGTATAGATTTCTTTACACTTTTATTTCAATGACAAAAAACACAATTATTTTTGCACCAACCTAATAGTTTATAACACATTAATATAATTTTTACATATCAGTAAATATAGAGCTTCTTTTTAGTGGTATGTAATATTGTATTACATTAATATACTATAATTTATTGAATTAGACCTTATTTTGTGGACATGAGGATGTTTTCCATTTTTCATGAATATACACAATGCTGGGATGAACACCTTTTTACATAAGCCCTTATAAACTCGTGAAGATGTTTCTATAGGATACATTCTTAGAAATCCTTCCAGAAACTGATATAAAGTTTATAACCATTTTCTATTTTAACAAATATTGCCAAATTCCCACCATAAAGGTTGTATCAATTTATATCCCAACAATGTATGTGGTCCCCAACTTCCCCAGGGCTGTGGGATTTTATAGGCAGTCTGTTCTCATCAGAGAGACTGTAGAACCTCGAGACTCTTCACTGAACTCTGCGAATGTCTGTAGTTCACACATTTCTCTGGTGGCTGATACGTGAATGTTAAGAGCAGCTCGAAGGTTTGCCCAGAAAAGCCTACATTTACGCCTATCCTTGGGCCATTCCAAGTATGCTTTTTTTTCCAGGAGAGCTTTCAGTTTATGATACCTGGTGGGAATGCAGTAGAATGGAATGGGTTCCAGTAATATAAGAATTATATGATCAGAATTTTCATGGAAGAGATTGTGGTGGGCAAAGTAGAGTTCATAATGGCACCACTCACTCTGGACAAAGTTGGGAGACAGAACAAAGATGGACTTGTAACTCTCCTCCATGAAGCTCACAATATTTTCACTAACACTCTTTCCAGGGTCAAAGTTTCTTTCATAAAGGCAAATCAAGATAGAACCATCTTCTTTCTCTAGATTGGGGATCAATTCATTCTTCACCCACAGAGAATCATGTTCACTGTATGCAATAAATGTGTGGAATTGGACATTTCTCTTGAGTTGTTCTTGGGCTGTCTTCCTAACCCTGTGCCATGTTTGTGTGCATTGACCTAGCATCCTGAGATACCAGGGCAGATCAAAGTGGAGACAACAGAAGGCCACAACCAACCCCAGAACTAGCATGATAAGCACAATGGTGACAATTAACAGAGCTGTGTTGCAAGATAATTCAGGAAGATGAACATCTTTTAGCCGAGTCCCCCTTAGGTTTAAAGGGTATTCACAGATGTATGAATCTGACCATCCAACCATCATGCCCTCTGAATATGTTTCAAGCCGAATGAAATGTTTTAATTCACAGGTACACCAGAATGGATTTCTTCCTGCATTTAGAGTCTTAACTTCCTGACAGCTCTGAAAAAAATCCAGAGATGGGCTGAGAATTAAGTTCATTTCAATGTTCAGAACTGAGAGTCTACTGAAATGACTACACCCAGGGAGATCAGTTAGAAAATTAAATGCAATATTTAGCTCTTGTAAGGCCATTAGATGAATAGCCTCTTTAGGTACAGTTTGGATTTGGTTATTATTTAGGTCAAGTATTTGAATACTTTTGGGTAAGCACCTGAAAACAGAATCAGACAATTTATTGTATGACAGGTTCATGGTGACCACAGTTTCTGGCCATGAGCAATTTTCATCATTTTTATGTTGTAATAGATTTTGACTCAGATCCATGTGTTCCAAGGGTGTGTTGTTAGCAAAGCGACTCACTAAAGAAAGTGTCTCCAGCTTATTGTCCTTCAAAATGAGAGTTTTCAAGTGAGGCAGTTGGATAGTTCTTTTAAACAACTCGTCTGTTAAGATATTATTGGCAAAATTTAAATGTTGAAATTTTGTAGGATAATTAGGGAATAGCATATGTGGAATTTGTGCATTTGATATTGTCAGGTTTTCTACGTCCATTTTGGTCAAAAGCAAATAGATTTTATCCTGCTGAATGTAAGGCATTCTGTAATGTACATGCTCCAATTTTATAGTTCTCATTACAGTATTTGAGTAGTCAAATGAATTGTGGTCAAGATAAACCTTACCACCAAAAGTCACATTTCGGATCTGAAAGTATTCCACTGATGTATGCCAAACAAATTGGAAGATAGAGAAAAGGTCGTCCCAGAGTAAATCAACTTTATTAAGTAATAAAACCGATGTCTTAGCATTTTCTAAACTCAGATTTTGTTGCATTTCATAACTTACAAATTGGCTTTTGCCATCTATATTTGTCATTTCTAATATTTTTGAAGTCTTGATTCCATCACGCAAAAGAACCCAGAAATTTGTATTCATTGGTAAAACAATGTGCAGTTTTGTTGTGTTTAAGATGGGCAGGCTACCTTCTTCATAATGAGAAAGAGTTCTGAATCCTAAGAAGACAGTATTTAGATGCAGATGAGCAATTTTGTGGAAATCTGATTTTTGTATTTTTGCCCCACTCAAACCTAGGATTTCCAGGTGTGACATGTTGCCAGCTTCCTCACAGATAGGCATGGTGTCAAAGTCATTAAAAGAAAGATCTAAATACCTGAGACCTGCCAGTGAATACCAACTTACACTCTTCAGTCTGTTATTAGATAAATCTAAATATCTTAACTCCTTGTTGAATTCAAAGATTTTGAGATTCAGCTGCTGGATTCTGTTATGGCATAGAATCAAAACTTTCAGTTTGGAGACAGGATGAAAATCTGAACTCTGGAGTTGAAAAAGGAGGTTATAGGATAAATCCAGTGTGGTTGTGGCTGGGGTCAAGTCTGCAGGAACCTTTCTTAGAGACATGTTGGAGCAGTTGGTCATCAGCTCCCTTTCTCCTGGCAGCTCTGGAACCTCACCCTCTACTGTCATAACAATACTACAAAATATGTAAATGTTTCCGATGAGTCTCATTGTATTTGCAAGGATTTTACCATTGATTTCCTCCTATGGATGATGAAGATGAGCTCAAAACCCTAAAAAGACAGTATATAATGTTAGGTTTTTATTTGGTTTGTTAAATCCTGTAGGATTTTTATTTGTGAAAAAAAAAATGCCAACATCTGACTATATACACCAAGAGGTTGGAATAGGGTCCCGACCTGTATGTTGGGTCTTCGACTTGATCTTAGAGCATTGGCTGATATGTCTCCAAGCTGGTTACTGTGCCGTGTCTCCAATGTTGAGGCAAGCCAGGATTCTCAGACAGAAGCAGCATAATTAAATGCAATAGAAAATTAAATGCAATATTTAGCTCTCATAAGGCCATCAAATGAATAGTCCCTTTTCACTAATAGTATCTTTTCTCAATGAAGCGTACATCTGTTTAAGAACTGCATTTTCAGGTCAGACTCAACACCCTCCCTCACATCACTGATAGCCTGAAGATTTCAAGACAACTGAAAGTAATTTGTTTTATTATACCAGATGTTGTGAGCCTTTGACTTGATATCATGGAGTTATCCCTCATTTTTTGCATTTGTGGATACAGAAAGTCCCTGGAGCTAATATCTGACCTTTAGTGCACTTACCTATATACACGGAAGTTCCAAAACATGAAACAAACGGAATGATTCCTATCCTTCTGCCTCTATATGTCTTCAGGTTGGTGGCAAAAGCAATCTGGATCACTGCCAACTAATAGTAATAATGTCAAAAAACAATTTCCAGATGGGACATGTTTCCAGTTTTCTCACAGAAAGGCATGGTTTCAAAGTCATTAAAAGAAAGATCTAGGCTGGGCATCGTGGCTCACATCTGTAATCCCAGCACCTTGGGAGGCCAAGGCAGGCGGATCACCTGAGGTAGGGAGTTTAAGACCAGCCTGATCAACACGGAGAAACCCCATCTCTACTAAAAAATACAAAATTAGCTGGGTGTGGTGGCATATGCTTGTTATCCCAGCTACTCAGAAGGCTGAGGCAGGAGAATCGCTTGGATCCAGGTGGCAGAATTTCCAGTGAGTGGAGATCGCACCATTGTGCACTCCAGCCTGGGCAAAAAGAGTGAAACTTTGTCTCAAAAAAAAAGGAAGAAAAAGAAAAGAGAAAGATCTAAAAGTCTGAGATCTGCCAGTGAATACCAAGCTACAATCTTCGGTCTGTTATTAGACAACTATAAATATCTTAACTTCTTGTTGAATTCAAAGCTCTTGATATTCAGCTGTTGAATTCAGTTATGGCATAGAATCAAAACTTTCAGGTTAGACTTCAATGTGCCAAGATGCACACTAATTGCTTCGTGTGTATTATCTCATTTATTTATCACTGTACTCTGTGAGGAAAATACTATTACTCCCATTTGATAGATGAGGAAACCATGGATATAGAATTCTGAGGACAACGGGAAACATGTCAGGCTTCACCTGACTTGATTAGACATAACACAGAGGTAGCTGGAGAACTAACATTTTTACAGTATTCATTATTCAAGATATTTATTAAGTACCTACTCTGCCAGAAATTTTTCTAGGTACCAGGGAACAGATTTCTGTTTCTACACAGCTTACATTCTCGAGAGAGGGTAAAAAAAGAGAGACTGGAAACAATAGAATACATTTCTATGTTATGACTCACAGTTCCACATGCCTGGGGAGGCCTCATAATCATGGCGGAAGGCGAATGAGGAGCAGAGTCATGTCTTATGTGGCAGCAGGCAAGAGAGCATGTGCAGGGAAACTCCCGTTATAAAACCACCAGATCTTGTGAGACTTATTTGCTATCATGAGAACAGCACGGGAAAGACCCGTCTCTATGATTCAATTACTTCCCACCAGGTCCTTCCCACAACATAATCAAAAGAGAAATAAATAAAAGAGAAATCCAGATGAGAGAGAGGTTAACATTCTAAGTGGCCTTATGTTTTGATTCTCCCACAACATAAATAAAAGCACTTGGCAATTTTCTTCTGACTGAAACAAGAAAGCAGCGGATTTAGAGTCCAGGAGGGGCAAGTTCTGACATCCATTTTAAAGTGCACTGTATGGGAGGGACTGGGACCCAGGAGGCTGGCAGGGAAGACTCCTTGGGACACTGCAGAGTAACTTGTGCCAGAATGTTTCAGTGGAAGTGGAGAGAAGTGGCTAGATTCAAATTAGTAAACTTAGATAACTTATTCAAATTAGATAACTTCAAATTAGTAAACAATTCAACTCTACGTCTCCCCACACAGGGCACTCCGAAGGCACTGAGGGCAGGTGATGTTAGTGTGGGAGTTTTTCTGCTTCCATTTGTATGTGTCTGTTACACATTGACCCTCCACTTCCACTCCCATAGACAGACAGAGGGACCAAAAGGCATGCTCAGCAGAAAGAGGATAGGGTGGAGAGACGTCTCATGTCTCTGTGCTTGCCATGCTCCCATCATTCTCAGAGGCTGGTCAGGAACCAGGGGAGGTGATGGGCATAGCCCCCCACAGGCATGCACGCAAACATGGCAGGATAACAAAGTTGGGGCAGAATCAAAACATAAGGCCACTTAGAATGTTACCTCTCTCTCATCTGGATTTCTGTCTCTCTAGAAACTTCCCAAGTCTGTTTTTTTCTTGAAGTAAAGAAATTCCAGAAAACCTATGGAGAATAGGGAGTGAGAGGGGCCACTTCTGAGTTTTCCGTTAGCTGCTGACACTGGTGAAGGAGAGAGAGCATCTTATATCTGATCTTGAGAACACATATGAGCGTAGATTCTTTGTGGGAACTCCCTTAACTGTACACACTTGGAGAATTCTTTGGTGAAAATATTAATTACCCACATTGATTATATGATTTTTATATTTTGTAAACTATTGTTTCTGGTAAGTGCTCTCAAACATCTTGGGAAAAAGCAATAATTTTGGTAAGGTCACCACAATTAGAAGACTTCTCAAAACACCAAGATTTAAAAACATGGTCGAATGACTTAAGATGCCTCTGGCCATATTTTTCTTTGCTCACATTTTAGTGATTCCCAGAGTGTAATATATACTAAAATATTATATTGCATTAATATGTAAATATAACACACTGTAATTATCAAAAAAAACCAGGTGAATGTTCTGTTTAATTAACTTAGTTTCTGCTAGATTTTTGAACTGTTGTATATTTTAGAGTAAGTTTTCTACATCTACTTTTAAATATTTCTAATAGAAAATCAGTTTACAACTGCAGCATGGAAGTGTAATTACTACTCAAATTATTGTGTTCAAAGCATCTAATGTATAATGATGAACCTTATATTTTCTTTCTGTTTTCTTAAAACTATATGTTAAATTTTAGAATATCTTAATTTCCAAGCCACTAGATGCAGAAAACAATTTTCTGTGCATTCATGATCTCTTCTGAATGACATCTTAGTAGATAAACTTCCGTTCATTTGTTTATCAGCTGTCCCCTCTCCACTCATTCCCAGGATCACTGTCTGTCTTGTTCACTTCAGTATCCTCAGAACATAGAACCGTGCTTGACACGTGGTGCATGCTCATTAACTATTTGTTGAATGCACATATGAGTGCATGAATGCATATAGGTATGAATTTCAACATTTTAATCATTAGCACAACACGATGCATAATATGCTCTCATAAGTACGTGTTGAATGAATGCATTTATGTTGTGAATTCCTGATACATGATGGTTAAAGAACGAGTCTGGTTTTAGGGATTGATGGGTCTGCGTTCAAGTCCAATGTTAACCATTCATTAGCTATGTAATCGGACCATTTATTTAACTCCTGGAAGGTTCGGTTTTGTCATCTGTAAAATGGGGCTTGTGAATAGGCATAAGACAATGTACATAAATCACTTAGTACCATGCCTAGCATGTCACGCTTAATAAATGGTGGCAGTTATCAGGTCAAGACTCAGGTGAGTCAAAGAAGGCATAAATGTTAAGAGGATGCCAAGGAACTCAGTAATCAAGAAAATGTTCACATGAAATACTTTTAAAAATGAAAATGAGGCTGGGTACGGTGGCTCCTTGTAATCCCAGCACTTTGGGAGGCTGAGGCGGGCAGATCACGAGGTCAGGATTTCAAGACCAGCCTGACCAACCCAGTGAAACCCCGTCTCTACTAAAAATACAAAAATTAGCGAGGCATTGTGGTGTGCGCCTGTAATGCCAGCTACTCAGGAGGCTGAGGCAGGAGAATTACCTGAACCCAGGAGGTGGAGGTTGTGGTGAGCCGAGATTGTGCCACTACACTCCAGCCTGGGCAACAAAGCAAGACTCCGTCTCCAAAAAAAAAAAGAGAGAGAAAAAAGAAAGGAAATTAATGCAAAAATCTATGTTGAACAAAATATCAAAATTTTTCATAAAGACAGGATCAGTATTACTGATTCTTTCTTTTGCCTCAGGCTCCATTATGGCTTGGCAGGACCCTGGCAGTTATAATCATTAGGTTGACAAAGGTGTTTTAATGTTATCAACTCACAGAGTGCTTAATTTGTAGCAATGGACTTTAAGCTTGTAGGTCTTAGAGCAATGGCCCCTTAATAATGTAGCAGAATCTAACCCAGTTGCTTTATCTGGAATTCTCTGGGCTGAGATGTCAGAGTTTCTATCTCTTACCGACCTCTTCCCCCTGCCCAATACCACAGTCTTATCTGGGACTGTAATGGAAGGGGAACTAACTCCTTTTGAACTTCTCTTAATATAATAATAATAAAGGTCCTATCTCTCAGGCAATACTTATGCATTATGACATTTTATTAAAATAACTTTTATATAGAGACACGGCCTCACTATGTTGCCAAGGCTGGTCTTAAACTCGTGGCCTCAAGCAATCCTCCCACCTCAGTCTCTCAAAGGGGTGGGATTAGAGGTGTGAGCCATTGTGCCTGGCCTCATTAAAGCAATTTTAAAAGTAGGACATAAACCTTTTTTTTTTTTTTTTGAGACTGAGTCCCACTCTGTTGCCCAGGCAGGAGTAAAGTGGCACGATCTTGGCTTACTGCAAGCTCCAACTCCCAGGTTCAAGCAACTCTCCTGCCCCAGCCTCCCGAATAGCTGGGATTACAGGCACCTCCAATCATGCCCAGCTAATTTCTGCATTTTTAGTAGAGATGGGGTTTCACCATCTTGGCCAGGCTGGTCTTGAACTCCTGACGTCAAGTGATCAACCCGCCTCAGCCTCCCAAAGTGCTGGGATTACAGACATGAGCCACGGTGCCCAACCTAAAAGTAGGACATAAACTTTCGATGAAAGATGTCCTCTATAAATGCTATGTGTATATATTAATATCATATTCCCGCTACTATGCCAAAAGCAGGTAAAAAACAGAGAATGACGTTCCTTAATAAAACTTTAATAGCTTATAATTTAAAAGTCAAGTCAAAAGACATCATCAAATGACAACTAGTGTTTTGCCAAAGAATATTTAATCATCTAATTTCTCTTTTCCCAGTGATATAAAGAAATAGAAAAGAGATTAAGAGCCTATTGAACGTTGAATGATCTTTGGAACCTAAGAGTAAGAATGACTTCTTTTTAGTACTTCCTATGTGTCTGACATGGTGCTAAGGGTTTTCTGCACATTACCTTGTTTCATCCCTCAACAACTCAACAAAATGGCAACCATTATTATTCCTATTTTACAGATGGAGGAGTTAAAGCCCAGAGGTAAAATAACTTGCCCAAGATGACCAGTGAATAAGCAGAGATTTGAACTCAGACCTGTTTGGTCCCTCCTGGATGGTAGGTAAACCCAAATGGAAGGCGCCTAAGCCTTGAAATGAGGTAGCTTAGGATGTAATCACATCCTAAGGACGGAATCACCAAGGTTGAATCCATTGACCTGATCACCTGCTGTGGCGGCCACTTCCTCCCTTCCCATCCCATGCACCTCTCTTGGAAGCTTCATGCAGCTGCTATGGGACACTCTGCTAGGCGCCATGAAGTTCAAGAGCCTTTGCCTACATGTGTATATATTCTTAGGAAATTTGTAAGTTCACAAGAATTGGAGTCAAACTCAAAGTGCATGCATTCCTAATTAATAGCTCAGTGTAGGTGGTCTGGGAGAAAGCTCTTCAAGAAATCAAACACCCACAGGTGGTTAACCGTCCTCTTCTTTACAGCAACCCATGGCCCTCTTTGTCCACTTCTGAAGGAAACCAAACAAGAACTGCGTTCTACAAGATCCCTCAGATCTGCCCCTACTTTTAGACAGGCAACACAAAGGCAGAACTTTTCAACGGGATACAGGAGCAAGAAATACGCCTTAACTAGCCAAAGGTTTTATCCAGCAGAGGCAAACATACACCATGGAGACATAAGAGATAGAGAAAACTTGCCACAATGCCTGGGACCGTTCAATCTGGATAGAAGGACTGACCAGGTTTGATCCACAATCAGTGAAAAGAAACCCACACCCTCAAGAAATTCCTCAGATCCACAAATCATTAATTTAGATAAAATAATAAACTCCAAAAATCCAAATAACTCTACTCACCTCCCCTCTATATTAGCTCAAATTATCTCCTCTTTAGAAAAGACCCATGCAGCCCTTATGTCTTTTCCATGAGAGTTACAACGAACAAAGCTAAGGTTCTTACCCCGGGCTTGCACTGTCACAGCAGAGCTGCAGGTGTGTGAATGATTCGTTGACAGGGTCAGAATTGGCTGCAGGAGCTGAATGAATAAAGTTTTTCTGTAAAGCTTAAACCCCATCCGCCCTCTACTGCATGCTAGCGGTATTGCATGTTATGTATATTCATTATAATCTTAACACTTTTTAAAATTGCGGTAAAATAAATACACATAACATAAAACTTACCATTTAAACCATCTTTTTATTTTTTATTTTTTTCAGACAGGGTCTCACTTTGTCACCCAGGCTGAAGTGCAGTGGTTTGATCACTGCTCACTGCAGCCTCGACCTGCTGGGCTCAAGCCATCCTCCCTGCTCAGCCCCGCAAATAGCTGGGACTACAGGCGCATGCCAACCGGCCTGGCTAATTTTTTTGTAGAGACAGGGTTTCGCCATGTTGCCCAGGCTGGTCTCGAACTCTTGAGCTCACGTGATCTGCCTGCTTCGGCCTCCCAAAGTGCTAGGATTACAGTGTGAGCCACTGCACCCAACCTTAACCATTTTTAAATGTACAATTTAGCGGCATTAAGTACATTCACACCATTGTGCAGCTACCATCACTGCCCATCTCCTGAGCTTCTTCATCACCCCAAACTGAAATTCTATGCCCACTAAACAGTAATTTCACATTTTCTCCTCCCCTCACATCCTGGAAACTACAATTCTACTTTCTGTCTCTATAATTTGACTACTCCAGGTACCTCATGTCTGTGGAATTATACCATATTTGTTTTTTTGTGACTGGCTTATTTAATTTAGCATGATGTCTTCAAGGTTCATCCATATCATTCTATTATTATTACAGAGAATCAGAATCCTTCCTTTTTTTTTTTAATTTTTTATTGGATTTTAGGTTTTGGGGTACATGAGCAGAGCATGTAAGACAGTTGCGTAGGAACACACATGGCAGTGTGCTTTTCTTTCCTTCTCCCCTTCACCCACATTTGGCATTTCTCCCCAGGCTATCCCTCCCCACCTAGAATCCTTCCTTTTTAAGGCTGAACACTGTTCTGTTGTATGTACGTCCCACATTGTATTCATTCATTCATCCATCAGTGGACATTGGGGTTGTTTTCACCTTTTGGCTTTTGTGAATAATGCTTCTATGAACATGGTGTACAAACATCTGTTTAAGTTGGTGCTTAGCATTCTTTTGAGTCTATACCTAGAAGTGGAATTTGTGGATCATATGACCATTCTGTTTCATTTCTTGCAGAACAACCACACTGGTTTTTCCACAGCATCTCAGAGCACTTTGATGATGCCTTTCTTCAAGGTGCAGCTCAGTTATCCCTTTCATCAGCTGGAGGGGCAGTCATGTGATGATTAGCAGGAATAGGAATGGTGGCTCCATAATTTCAGCAATCTAGCAGGCAGAGGGTGGGAAGGAGTTATCTAGAGCAGGGGTCCTCAACCCCTGGGCCACAGACAGGAACTAGTTCATGGCTTATTAGGAACTGAGCCACACAGCAAGAGGTGAGTGGTGGGTAAGCAAGTGAAGCTTCATCTGTATTTACAGTCACTCCCCATCGCTCACATTACCACCTGAGCTCCACCTCCTGTCAAATCAACAGCAGCATTAGATTCTCATAGGAGTGCAAACCCTACTGTGAGCTGCATATGTGAGAGATCTCAGTTGCACGCTCCTTATGAGAATCTAATGTCTGGTGATTTCTCACCATCTCCCGTCACCCCAGATGGGACCATCTAGTTGCAGGAAAACAGGCTCAGGGCTTCCACTGATTCTACATTACGGTGAGTTGTATAATTATTTTATTGTATGTTATATTACAATGTAATAATAATAGAAATAAAGTAAATGCGATATGCTTGAATCATCCTGAAACCATCTTGCCTCCATCTCCAAACCTGGAGAAACCGTCTTCCATGAAGCTGGTCCTTGGTGCCAAAAAGATTGGAGATGACTGATCTAGAGGCCTTGTCTTGAAGTGAAGTGATAAAAGAAACATGATATTTTTTAAAATGTAGATTGCAAAGTACAGATCAATTTTTAAAGCAACATTTTTGAGGCTGTTTTCATACTCGACTTAAGATTTAGGTGACTGCTGGAGATCACAAGTAAAGAAGAAAATTTCCAAGTAGATTTGTCCACTGGAGGAACGATCAATTTAAACATGAATGATTATAACAGATTTATGTCGTGCAAAATGGGGGAGTGGGTGGGTTCTTAAAATACATTTTTTTAACTGTCACATTGGGGTTTTTAAATTAAAATGTAGTGTATGTATTTCCACATACATTTTAAGGGAAAATCACAGAATAAATAACTGTGTAAAGAAAAACAACAGCAAAACAAAACCAGCTCTGCTGCTCACCTAAACATATACAAACGTGTACATTACACAGACATGGGAAGACAGGTGCTGGCTGCACACCCATCGGGAATGTTGGAGAGGGAATTTCTAGCTCGTTGGATGAACTAAACTCTAAAATCTTTTTCAGTTCAGAAATTCTCAAACTACTATGATCAGCACACTCACATTGTATATTGCCCTCTCAAGGAAAAATAATGACTTGGGATTTTTGTTGTCCAAAGACATATTCTTCCTTTTCCCAGAGACCAGCATGTTTAAATACTTTATTGTCAGTAAGTGGAGAAGTTTTCTTTATGTGTTTTTACATTTGTTTACCAAAAACAAGTTGAGCCCAGTAAGCAGTTGTTGTCTGTGTCATCTGATCATTATCATTAAGCTTGCATTTACTTCCTAAGTGCAGAAAGTATTGCACACAAGATATTGGCTACTCATCACCACAAACTACTTAGAACATACACTTTATTTCCATTCGACAGCTAAAGAAACTGGTTGAGAGAGCAAGGAACTTGCCCAAGGTCATCATCCAGTAGAGGATGGAGCCAAGATTCAAAACTAAGTAAGTCTGCTTCCAAAGCCTACAATTTTTTTCACGACTCCACATGTCCAAGAGATGAGGTAATACTCTGTTTGCCTTCACCTGAGATTTCTAAAACATTTAAATCCTTATTCACAACTAGCAACTGAGAATAGTATGCTCAGAACCATATGTGCTGATAACTTTAAGATGTAATATTTTTATTCCTTTCAAACAAACATCCCCCTGCCCCCTACACACATGCATGCACGTGGGCATGCACACACACACACATACTTACACACTCACTTCCCCTGTTATGCCTTCCTCTTACTGCAGACATGGGCCTGCTATGATTCTGCCTTCATATCTAAGTTGCGATGAACAGAGAACCTTTGGTTACCACAAGGGGATGGAGGTTTATTTTAAAGACACTAGAGGTGGTGAGGAAACACAGCAGCACAGCCAGGCCCTGTAAAGACCTGGAGCAGTGGCTTCTGGGGACTCCCAGAGCAGCCGTGGTGGTCAGACTGTCTTGTTGGGCTGCTCTCCACTTTAGCTATGACTTGACTTTTCTTTGATTCTTCCTCAATCTGCTTCTCTTTCTATTACCCACTTCTCTTTATTGCTGCCTTTGCTTCTACATGTGTCTTCCTACAGCCTTTTCCCACGCTCATGGCTTACAGTCAGGGCTGAGGCTCGCTCTGAGAATACTTGCCCCAAGACAGGAAATCTGATCAGATCTTTGCCTCACTATGCAAGATGGAGCATCTCTATTGGGCAGAGGATTCATGACCACCTTATAATCTGCTAGCCTATTTTATTTTTATTTTTATTTTGAGATAGTCTCACACTGTCGCCCAGGCAGGAGTGTAGTGGCATGATCTCACCTCACTGCAACCTCTTCCTCCTGGGTTCAAGCGATTCTCCTGCCTCATCCTCCCAAGTAGCTGGGATTACAGGTGTGTGCCATTATACTCGACTAATTCTGTATTTTTGGTAGAGATGGGGTTTGACCATGTTGGCCAGGCTGGTCTTGAACTCCTCACTTCAGGTGATCCACCAACCTTGGCCTCCCAAAGTGCTGGGATTTTAGGCATAAGCCACCATGCCTGGCCTATTTTTATAGTTCTTGCCTTTAAGAGGGCAGGTAGGAAAGTCACATGACATAGAGCTGCTGCTGGGTGGGAGGAAGGGCCTGGCTTGCATTCTCCCTAGGGCCCTGCAGGTGGCTCAGAGTCTGGTGTGGAGCATGTGTTAGTTGGGGAAAGCTCCTTTACTTTAATTACTGGGATCAGCAAGTGAAAATAGTGACAAAGGTTTTATTTTGTTCTTGTTTTGTTTTGTTTTGTTTCGTTTTTTCCTGAATCCTATTTCTGAAAAATAAATGAAAAGTAACAAAATTCTCACATGGTTAGGAAATTTAAATAATTTGTCATTCATTTACTACATTTGAGTATAAGGAGGGGAGAACATTTTTGTTCAAATGAATAAATTGATCCTGGCTGGATGTGGTGGCTCACACCTATAATCCCAACACTTTGGGAGGCCAAGGCAGGTGGATCGCCTGAGGTCAGGAGTTTGAGACCAGCCTGGCTAACATGGTGAAACCCTGTCTACTAAAAATACAAAAGTTAGCCAGTGTGGTGGCAGGTGCCTGTAATCCCAGCTACACAGGAGGCTGAGGCTGCAGAATCGCTTGACACTGGGAGGCAGACAGAGGTTGCAGTGAGTCGAGATCATGCCATTGCACTCTGGCCTGGGCAACAAGAGCAAAACTCTGTCTCTAAATAATAAATAGAAGAAAAATAAAATAATCCTAGATATGTACTAGGAACCTAAAAGATTTTGAAGAGATATGGTAACATTAAAAAGACCAAAAAAGGTGAAATTAATAATATATTTTATATAATTCACCACATTAAAATATTATTTCACAAGTATTCAATATAAAAAATAACTAGCAAGACATTTGACATTCTCTCTCTTTTTTTTTAAATTGTACTTCAGGCTATGGGGTACATGTACAGATCATGCAGGATTGTTGCATAAGTACACACATGGCAATGTGGTTTGCTGCCTCCATCCCCCGATCACCTACATCTGGCATTGCTCCCCATGTTATCCCTCCCCAACCTCCCCGCCCACCCCCACTGTCTCTCCCTTGGCCCCCTGCCAACAGACCCCAGTGTGTGATGCTCCCCTTCCTGTGTCCATGTGTTCTCATTGTTCAACACCCGCCTATGAGTGAGAACACACAGTGTTTGATTTTCTGTTCTTGTGTCAGTTTGCTGAGAATGATGGTTTCCAGATTCATCCATGTCTCTACAAAGGACACAAACTCATCATTTCTTATGGCTGCATAGTATTCCATGGTGTATATGTACCACATTTTTCTTGTCCAGTCTGTCGTTGATGGGCATTTGGGTTGGTTCCAGGCCTTTGCTATTGTAAACAGTGCTGCTATGAACATACATGTGCATGTATCCTTA